GACACACGGACTGGCGCTGTGTGGGGCTCTTTTCGCGTGTCCGGGTGCTTCGGCCGATTCCCGAGGAGCTGCTCCGGGCCCTGTGTGACAAAGCTGGTGCGCTCGCAGCAGCAGCCCTGTGCTTCCCGCCCAGGCGTGCATGTCGTGACCATGACTTCTCTGTGTTTCTCCCCGCCCCCTGTTTTGCTCTGCGGTTTTGTGTTATCGGTGCTCCTTTTGACCCTTGCCCCCACCCGGCTTGTGCCGTCGTGCGACCGTCACTAACAGTCGTTGCCGGGAGCTGCAGGAGCACATCAGAGCGATGGACCAGAACTTGAGGTGTCTGTCTGTTGCCGAAGAAAAGGTACTAACCTTCCCCTTCTCCGACCATTAAACCAGCTCTCCTGTGGCCTTCTGCTCCGCTCCTTCCCGCAGCCTAACTGCGCCTGTCTCTCTCCTGGAATGCTCTGTCCTCGGCCCGTAACCGTTCCTGCCTGAGTGGTGGTGGCTCTGTCTGTCAGAACGGCTCCCTCGTGTGCAGCTGCTCCCCGCAGGCTCACCCCTCCCTCGGGTGCAGCTGCTCCCCGAAGGCTCCAGCTCCCGCAGAGATCTGCTCAGCTCAGTGCCCTGCGCGTGCGCTGGCAGAACGCTCAGAACGCCAACCCGGATGCGGGAAGGGAGTTTGCTTTCTGCACAAGTGCCTCAAAGCAGGGTCCTGTCCAGTCTGATTGCAGACCGGCTCCTAAAACCCCTCCTGGCCTTCCCTGCCCGTGGATTCACTTCTTGTCTCTCCTGTCTTTTCCTCCCACTTCCTCTTTTCCTTTTTCTCTCCCCCTTTTCTTTACGAAACCCCACAGTAAATGTTCCGAGCTGGAGGAGGAGCTGAAGAATGTCACCAACAATCTCAAGTCTCTTGAGGCTCAGGCTGAGAAGGTAGGGCTGCTCCTCCGAGGGCCAGAAGCTCTTCTGTTTTGCTAGGAGGGTGCGTGCCAGCAGAGCAAACGCTGGGACGGAGGTGACGCAACCGCAGCCTTGGGCGAGGGGAGCTGTGCCTGCTCTCCCGGGAGAGCTGAGGGGTCTGGTGCGGGGCCGGGGGTGTGGGAGGTCTGGTGCCCGTCCCTGCCTTGGGGCAGGCTCCGTCACGAGGTGTTTCTGCTGCTGGGATCAGAACTGGTGTGCGCCCAGGTGTGTTACCTGCCCCAGTGCTGTGGGACTGGGCTGGAAACCTCCCAGTTGGAAGTTTTCTGTGGGCGTGTGGCTGCGGCGAGGAG